TGAAGGGGGACGACGACGACAACGGCGGCGGCGACGACGACGACGACGGTGACGTGCGCCAGAGGGATGCCTCTTGGGGTTTCTTCGGAAGGCTCTCGGGGGCCTCAGGGGAGGAATTCTGGGGCCTCTTGGGAACCTCTTTGGGGGCCTCTGAGAGCCAAGAGGGGTGTGATTGCTACAGGCCCCGGTCGTTGGAAGTATGAATTTCTGGATATCCAGATCCCAATATACTTTAAGCGCCTTCCTACTTCCCTTTTCCCTCCTCCTCAGGAGGCGGGCGGAAGTCCAATCTACTTTCAACGCCTTCCCACTTCATGTTTCGACCCACTTCTTCCGACCGACGGGCAGGGGTGAGGTTCACAGATTGCATGGCCCCTCTTCGTATCGAAGACGCCTACGGCGAATCACCGCCGCCCCCTGCCTTTGGTAGTGCCTATGTGGCCGAACGTTGAGGCCAGACCTGCCAAGCTATCGGACCATGTGTTCCTCGATTCGGTTTGGAAAGCCGTCGGGGAACACGTGGGCATCTTGAAGGTCCTCTTGGCCGTCTGGAGGCCATTTTGATCCTCTCGGGCCTTCTTGGAGGACGTCTTGGAGGGATCTTTGGCCGTCTTCGAGGCCATCTTGAAAGTCTTGGGGGCCTCTTGTGTGAAGACTGGTGTGCTTTATGCTTGTTATGTTCAGCTAGAATCGTTGCAGATAAGCAGCTCTGTGAAGTAGTTGCCCCAGCTGGGGGCCAGCGTAGCAAAAGCAACATAACAACATGTCGTGGTCATTTCTTTCGAACGATTTCAGGGGATCCCCTTTTGAGCTATTAGCGATATCAAGTTATCAGACGTTTGCCCGCGGCGATTCTCTGATACCAAATACATTGCTCGGGAGCTTGCAGCGGAGAGCAAACAAATGCTCATACCCAGTATCATCAACAGTGGTAGCGGAGCGTATCAACGAAGAACGGAGTATGCTTCAGAGTTGGTTCGTCAGCTTCATATTATTTCCAAAGACCTGGTCCTCGCAGACAGGCAACCACCGCCCTTGTGTGAAGAGCTCGTTCTCAAATAACACCTTCGACGATTTCAAGCAACACAGCTTCGATTTTTAGTTCAGCAGCTTCGATTCCAAGCAGCACAACTTCGATTTCAACAGCAACAGCTTCGATTCCACAGTGGCTCTGCATCGGGACGGGACATAAATGACACGTGTGGTTGGACAGAGGTGGTGTTCCATGTTCGGAGACGCGGCAGCAGTTGAGGGATGGGACGAAAGTGTACGACTAGGATTTCTTGGCATGGCTAATTTGGAGACAAAGGGGTTCACCGCAAAGGTCAAGAACGGACTCACTGGTCGAGCGTGGACGCTTAGCCACAAAGGCGAGCACATTAGCGTAAGAGCCTTGGCTGAGCTGTTTCAAAAGGGAAGCAGTCCGGCTGAGAATGCGGAGGCCGTAGGGGCAACGTTTGACATTCCCATCGAGTGCGTTCGCTCACATGTTGAGAAAGTGGCGCCCATTCAGAAGCACAAGGCGTTTCTGAATAGCTTCACCCGTGGACATCGGAGGCCCGGCGAGCCGATAAAGGATCTTTTCCAGCGAAGGCAGGATGCCTGCGAGTAGTTGCGGGGCCTCATTGGCGGCCATGCGCAGGCATCGGAGGACTTGCGGACCTTGTTCTGCTTGGATATGCGTGGTATCACAGAGGCTCAGCACAAGACGTTCCTGGGTCAGGCTCGTGACGAATATGACCTGGGATGCAATAGGCGACAAACTCGATGTCCATATCGGCCGCGTAGACGCTCGAGGAAGTAGAGACCAAAAACGAGAAGGTGGAGGACGACGGTTCCGTTGGAAGTCGGCCTTCGGCGCGGACCCCGACGAAGGGGTCGCAGACGATGAGGCCGAGGAGGACAACGTAGAGGAGAACTACGAGGACGACGACAACGAGATGGTGATCTTATCGGCAGAAGTGGAACAGCTCGAGGCGGCAACTGCAGTGGTGGGCGTCGCTGACATATCCGGGAAGGAGGTGCAGACGTTCGCTGCAGAGGCTCAGAAGATCAGTTGAGCGGTCGCTGCCAAAGGCCGCAGACGCGGAAAAGGCAGCTCGGACAGCTCGTCCATCTACAGCCGACAGCGCCAGTTCATCACGGGCGGCAAGATGGACCGAGGATTTCGACCGGGTAAGCATTGCGTCGATTTCGACGGCAAGATCAGTTTCGTCGGCGCGACGGAGCTTCCAGATAAGCTCGGCGCCTTCCAGATGCAGAGCAAATGCAGCGCGCGCCGCGAGACTGGGCGCTGGGCTGGCGACCCACAGTGCAGTAACATGAAAACGCTGGTCAACCAGAAACCGAAGGGCTTAGGTCGAGGTGCTGGACGAGGACGCGCTGGGGGTTTTCTGGCACGCGCCGGCCTGGCGGCGGTGATGCTAGCATCTGGAGCTGGCTACCAACAGGAGTGCAAGATTATCGCGCCGATCACGGGCCGCTCCGATGGCCAGCTCTGGCCGGTCATCGACCTCAACGAGGAGACGGTCGACGCGATGGTGGTGGACCTGGTGGTACCTCCGGGCTACGTGGTCCTGGGCACAGCGGCGCTGGCGCTGGTCGGCGGCGCCCGGGCTATCGACGAACGCCTCGAGATGTCTCATTGGCATACCTGCAGATGCCCAGCAAGATGGTCTTCAAGGGCATCGGCATCTCTGCCTCGATCAAGGCTGGGAGCATTCAAGCTGTGTCGAGTGGTATTTAAGGGCGCGACTGCGTTCTTAACTTCGAGAGGTTGCCGGACTCCGACACCCCAATGCTTGCGAGCGTCGACCAGATGGGCGCTCTGGGCGCGATCATCAGCGCGAAGCGCAATCAGGTGATCTTCGAGGAGATTTCGGGCAAGCCGCTGAAAATCACGTGATCCAAGAAGAGGCGCCTGGCGATCAACGACGCCGACTTCCCGTGGACGCCGACGCGCCGGGAGGCGCCGACCCCCAGTGCGAACACGCTGAACGTTTGGACCAGAGCAGGAGGACATGCCTCAAATCGCGATCGACGATCAGAACGTCACGACCATGCATGCGGAGGCTGGCATCACGGCAAAGTCCCGGAATAATCAAAGATGCTTGGGTTGCCGAGCATTCGCGAGAGACGCGAGCTACCTGGCATGTGCTACGTGTTGACCAGAATGCATCGTCTACATATTCCCGGGACAGCGGTTAATGACATTTACGGTGGGGAGTGCAATGTTACACGTCTGGCTGGAGAGCTTGGTAAGGCAACGGGTAAGTGCAGGGATCTCTGCGTTACCGGCGATGAATTACTGCTACCCAGTGCGCAGGCAGAAACGATGAGGGAACTTGAAGCTGAAGACCCGTGCCTCACGATCGCGCCGTTTCCTTGTGACGCGTGGTCAGCCATCAACTCTTTCTTCCCGCCGAAGGAGAGACGTCAACGCCGAGCAAAGCACTCGCGCATGTTCGATATGCGCTAGAAATCGTAAAGCACCGGCTAGAGCACGGATGCCATGTATTATTTGGGAATCCATTGTGCTTGCAAGTTTGGATCCTCATGAAGGATGAATCGCCGCCTGAACTGATGTGGGATCGACTTCCATGTGCGCGATGATCGCGGATGGTCACTTCAAAAACCAACGGTATTTGTGACGCCAGCAGTACCTCTGGCAAATGCAGTGGAAGTTCGTTGTTCACGGGGTCGCGAACATGGCCAAGTTCAAGGGCGCGGTGGCAAGTCATGTGATTTCGTAGTATGGACAACCGATATGGCTGAACGTATTCTCGAAAAGGTACCGAGCAACATCATGAGTTGGAGAGGCTACTTGGAGGCGAGACTATCCTGGGAGTTCCAGACGCCACTGACGCATGTTCCGTTACAGGTTTCACGTCGAGCTCAGGACGCATTATGGGCGCGAATGCTGACCTACGCTGACTAGCAGCGAGGGCCGGCAGCGCTCGAGGCAGTGATCAAGAAGTTGCATATTCAATGTTCCCATGCTCTTCGTGGCGAAGAGCTTGCCCGACGCGTTCGGGCAGGCGGAGGGTCGCCAGCGGCAGCTTCGGCGGTTTTTCAAGCGCGAGTTATGTGATTCTCAGCAACGACCGCCAGCGCACCCCGCAGTAAGCCGATCGAAATGGTTTCGATTTAATCCGTGTTTCGGCATGGTCATTGCGTTTGCACCGGGTTTGCGTGGGGATGTGCGCGCTTTCTCGGTCGCGCTCGACCTCGCGACCGACTTCGCAGCGCTTCAATGGATGATCGGCGGCGGAGATCGGAAGCCAATTCTTACATCAGCTCATGCGGAGACGGCTTTCACGGGGGGCTGGGAACGTACCCCATTAATCCCAGAGAGGATACATATTGACCAAGGCGAAGCGTTCCGCTTGGAGCTCGAGGCAACGTGCACGGAGTGCCACGCGTTCCAGTTGCGCATGAACAGCGTCATCGACATGGACAGGTTGAACGCAACACTCGTTTCTTCAAAGAGATGGCCGCCGAGGTCTTTCTCGAGCGTGAGGTCAGAGACGACAGGAGCGTCAAAATCGCAGGATACCAGATCGATCGTTCAGACTATGAACCGACTTGCGAACGACAAAGGCTGTAGTCCAGATCAGTGGATACTTGGCGAAAGTCCAGCATTGCCCGCGTCTCTGAGAGATATCAGCGCCGTTCTGGTGGTTGCTTGGCAAACTGCTCAAGGATCGCTCATGTGGCGTCGACTGCGACTGCAAGAAGTTGACGAGGTTGCATTCCACCAGTCAGCTAACAGTCTAGTGTTGCGACGAGCTGTTCTCGCAGCGACCCGGCCTCAGCCCGGATCTTTCGAGCGAAGCGAACGGGTTCATTATTGGCGCATAGGTGGGGGAAAACGCGATCTACATCGGAAGTGGCAAGGCCCAGCTCGAGTTTACTGGCAAGGATCAGTTTGGATACTGGTTGATTCGCAATGGTATTTCTAGTCTGGTTGCACCGAATATTCTCAGGAGGTCGACGATGACATGATATCGAGGATCGCATTCTTGGAGATCAGCGTGAGTGGCGAGGACTTCTTCATGGCCGACGTGGTTTCATCGATCTTCGGAACACGACGTTAACGCCGTCGCGAGAACCTCTGCAGCCAGGGCTACAACGACAGCCTCAACAGCAACCTCAGCTTCGAAAACCAGGAGAACCTGAAGAACCTGATCCAGATCATCCGGGCATGGAAGGAGTGCGAGCTCGAGAACCTGATGATGCAGATGGCCAACTCCCTGCTCAACGCCGTCGCGTGCAAGCTGAGTGGCCAGAACATGCCGATTTCATGGTCGATGATCATCGGATCGTAGCCTCGTGGTCCATATGATGCAGTAGTGGTGACAAAGATGCCCCGATGCATTACGACACCGGCACCGGGATAATATGTCATCTCACGATAACTGTTCTACGGCGACGTATCTGCAAATACGACGGGAAGGTCCTGCGCGACGATCTGGCTCGTGCTAGTTCGGAAATGCCATTTGGAATTCCCCTGGTTCGCGATATGGTTGCTGAGGATGTTGTGCTGGAGTATACGCATCGAGTTAGCAGTGAACCCTCAAATTGTCAATGACAGATCCCAGATTGCTCGACAGGATAGAGTTCCAGGCGGTGCCGGACCTCGAGGACCACCTCGATCGTTTGGATCAGACAGCCCGGCGACGCCTTCAACGTCAGCGGCGTGATCCAGCGCGCCGTCTGGGCCAAGTGGCGTTGGTTCTCAGACAGCGCGCGGGCGCGCGGGATCACGGGGGACATTGTGGGCATGCTACTTCGTTCCATGTGTAGGATGCAGGATGCCGCTTCCCTGTGTGTGTGGTGGTGGGGGGGGGTTGGTGGCTACCAAGATGAAGGCCCTTGGCCGTCGCCGGGGCCGGAGCTCTTCGCGCGCGTTCTGGCGCCCGGTCAAAGACATTGGGGCGGCGCTCCGCGGCGGCAACCTCGCGGGCCTGGCCTCCAGGATCGACGTCGACTGGCTGTTCGTGGAGCAGGGCAAGGAGTGGGTCGTGGAGGTGGAGGGCATCTTCGGCCCGCCAGGCGAGCCGGACACGGTGCAGAGCACTCGCGCTTTGAACCGTCATCTGATATGGGCGACGGAGGGCGTCGCGTGGGAGTGCGACCCGCGACGCGTCGACGTCGCGATTCGCGAATTGGGTTTGGCGTCAGGAGGAGCTAACGCCAAACTCACCGCGCCTGGGGCTCTGTGCGACTCCGCGCTGTGGAGAGGGGGGACGTCGCCGTCCAAGAGGGGGGGCGCACTTGGCGCCGATCGGTGCGCGTGAGAGTGGCCCGCGTCGCGCAGGGCCGCCCTGACCTAGGTGTAGTTGTCCGCGATATGGCGAAGGGCGCGCAGGCCCCGTGCGAGCGCCGCGTGGCACCGCTGAAGCACGGTGAACGCTATCTTCGAGGCAACCGTAGGCTTGCGCAGTACCTCGAGAACCAGGAAGCGACTGCGTGGCTAGACGGGCGGCGTGGTTCAGACCACGCAGGTAATCTCAGGGCACGGAAGCGCGCGCCAGGAGGTGCAGCGATGGCCAGCTTGCACTGTTTGTACCGTTGGTGCCGCGGCCAGTCAGTCATAGCGCTCAGTTGTGGCGGTGGAGCTGGGTACTACAGTTTAGTGGTACTCATGGGCGAGATGTGCGGCTTACAGTCTTTAGCTTTCGATTGGAATCTAGCGTGAAAGCTCGGTGTGAACGCGGGCGCGACAGGTGCCGTGGGCATGGTCTCGCGGCGCGGGCTTGGCAAGACCGAGCTCATCGACGCGGTGTGGCCCTGGGCGCAGGAAGCCATGGGCCGTCTCATGGTGTCTTTAGGGCGAAGTACGCAGACGAGACGATAGCATATTTGTTCACAAAGTTCTTGAATCGAGACAAGGCTCAGCGATTCAGCGCACTGGTGGGTTTCGAGCCCCGAGAGGGTCAGCACTCTTTGGCCCTAGGAGCGTGAGGTATACTTCGGATGGCTTGGGCCTGGCTCGGCTCTGTCTCGGGAGTGTGCCGGGCGCTTGGCTGCAGCGCGCCCCTCGGGAAGCGTGAGCAGAAATGGACCTCCCAAGCGCCCGGTGCATATGTAGAGATTTGTGAGGGGGGCAGGATCTGTCCCCTCCTATCTGCTTCCGGTGTGTTGCATCGCACGACGTGCGCATTCCATAGCCATCTGAACGGCCCGAGAGGGATAAACAGTGTTCAGTGGGGCCATCTTGGGCCGTCTTCGAGGCATCTCGGGACACATTGGTGTCCATGGTTGCCCGCGCGGGCCGTCTTGGGAGCTCCGGGCGCATATCTTTGGTTTTTTAACGAGGGATTTTTGTGGATTGGGCTTCCCTGGAGCGAGAAATGCGGGAAGTGCGCGATCCTCGAGCGAGATTCCATGGGCTGATGGATCTAGCAGTTATCGGCCATGCGCGAAGCGCACAATCCTGCATTGAATGAGGGCTAAGGCATACGCTGCCATGCGGGAAGTGCACCACCTTCGAGCGAACATGCGTGGAAGCGTGGCTCAGGCATTAGCTGTCGTGCGGCAAGTGCACCGTCCGCGAGCGGGCACGCGTGGAACATGGGGCTTAGGCGTTAGTTGCTATGCTGCACGTGCAGTATCCTCGAGTTGGCGCGTGGGAAATGTTTGCGAGTAGAGATAGACAACTCCTGCTAGACCGTTGCATTCTTCCACGCCTCAACGTGCCCTTCCGTGCCTTCCCCTGTTTTCGCCTTTTTGGGCCTCCTGGGAGGCCTTCGTCGCCACAGCTGGAGTCGCCTTGAAATTCTGGTCAGAGCGCACCCGTGGGGAGTTCTGGACAGGTCCAGGGGGGTCAGATTCAGATGGTGCCGAGTTGAAGTAACGGTGGTTGGTTTTCAGAGGGGGCCTCTCGTCGCTACGGCTGGACGTTTCTCGGAACATTGGCTCGTTTGGGCCCCGGGTGGGGTTCGGGGGATCGATTTCGATCTAGCGTTGTCTCAACGTGTCATGTTCCGAGAGGCTTGGGGAGGGCTGGGGAGGATGGGGAGGAAGAGGAAGGGGACGGCAAAGGCGTGAAACATGGGGTAAACAAAGGGGAGGTGGAGTAGAGCAGGCGGGGGGGGACGGGGGCTGATGGTGGGGAGGAGCCGGAGGGATGGGGGAACGAGGGGGAAGACGAGAACGGGAGGCGGAGGAGGAGGATCAGGAGGAGGAGGAGGAGGAGAATCAGGAGGAGGAGGAGGAGGAGAAGGGGGGGGGAGGAGCAGGGGGAGGAGGAGGAGGAGGAGGAGGAGGAGAAGGAGGAGGAGGTGGAACGGAAGTTAGCCATCCCGCCAATCTGTGTACAACGTAAAGGGAGGAATGGTAGGGGAGGGGAGGGGAGGAAGGAAGGGACGGAGGCGGAGGGGCAAAGGAGCGGGAAGGGGGTGTGGGGAGGAGGGGGATGAGGAGGGGGGGGGGCAGGTATGGGAGGATCGGGGGCGGGAGGAGGGAGGGGCGGAAGAGGATCCGTTCAGGACGTGGCACAAGCACAGCACAAGAGCCACGACATGCACATCCCAGTGCGACCAAGGAGCGGGACAACCAGGGGTGCGCGTTTCCTCAAGTACGCCAGTCTCTTTGACATTATGTGCGGACAAGAGTGCCACGGACAGATTGCGGACATTAACGAACTGTCTCGGGAACTTCGTGGGTATAAAAAAAAGGAACGGGACAACCAGGGGGCACTGAACATCGGGCGGGGGACACGGCAGGGCGCAGCCTGCGGGGACGAGGCCCTCGCGCGCGGGCTCCGCGACGGGGTGCGCCGGCGGCCAGGATGCTCCACGCTTCGTTTCGATGCTGCCTCGAACAGCGCCGCGAGTGGCGGGGGGGGGGGCGGTCGGGTCGGACAGCACGGGGGGGGGGGGGATTGTCAGAGGATAAGAATGTGCGGGTGCCGCTGCTCGTCTGGAGAGCGCCCGTCGCCACGGCTAGATTCTCCCCGAAGTTATGGCTAGAGGGAGCCCCAGGAGAGGTCTGGGGAACATCCGTGTCGGTACGTTTCCCCAAACTGTGCTTGCATTCATTCAGGGGCTCTCATGACTGGTCTGAGGAATTCGGCCGTCGTGTCCAACCTTGGGCTAGCGTGCAACCAACATCATGATGTGTTGTGTTGTGTGTTGGGTGATTCTAGTCGGGGCTGTTCTTTTAGGAGCTGATGGCCACATCAGGCAGCACGCAGCCCTCTTCAGCCATCAGTGCGTCGTGGCACGTTTTTGCATAATATCTCGTCGATCCTTTGCGTCGAGGCAGTCGTCGCCCGCCCGAGCCCGGAACGCAACGGCCGCCCACCGTCCCATGCGATAGCATTTCCAGCGGGGGGGGGGGGCAGGCAACCACTGAAAGCAGAACCCTCTTGTGTCTGCGACACCCAGTGGGATACCTGAAACGTGCACATGCGCCTCGATCCTCAATCCCTCTCCCCCCTCCTGTCACCATCTCTTAAGTTAAGGATGCAGCTTTGGGGGTTGACATCGGCAGCAGCTCCGCTGTAGCGAACCTCGAGCGACAACGCTGAGTTCTTGTTCAACGGGGAAAAGCAGCAGATGTGCCGGTCTCCTCAGTACTGAAATTGTCGTAGTCGTTGCCGTCGTGTTTCCTTCGCCCAATGTTGCGATGCCCGTCGTCCAGTGTTGCGATGCAGGGTCCTGCAGAAGCTGGGGGACACAACATTCGACAAACGTACATCTCAGAGCAAGCTTCTTTGTGTGGGGTCTGCAGTCTTCCTTGCAGAAGACTGCGGCCTCGTCGGACCACATTTGGCCATCTTGGGTCTGCAGTGCACCCCCTGCTCCCTTGGAAAACTCACATTGGACATGTGTGAGGCCGGGGCAGTTCCCTTTTCTCGGGCCCAAATTCCCGTGGAGTCCACCATGATGTATCCCGAATCCCCAACCCCAGAGAGTTCGATGACAACGCGAAAGTGATAATTCAGAAGCTCTGACGGGCGCATCGTCGCCGCCGTCATCGGCGTCGCCTTCGGCGTCGCCGCCACAGTCGTCGCCTCACTGGCGTCGTTGGACCCCCGTCGTCGCTATCTTCGCCGTCGTCGCCGCGTCGTCGCCGCCGCCGTCGTCGCCTCCACCGTCGCCGCCTCCGCCGTCGTCGCCGTCGCTGTGATTGTAGCCGTCGTCGCCGCAGTAGCGTTTCTGCGGGCTGCGCCAGAATGTATCCCGTTTCCCGAATCTGCCCCGTCCCGAAGAGAGTACAAACAGAGCACGAATCTACCCCATTCCCAAGTTGTCATTCAGCAGCTCTAGCAGGCCCATGGTCGCCGCCGTCATCGTTGTCGCCTTCGGCGTCGCCGCCACCGTTGTCGCGTCACCGTCGTCTTTGCATCCCCGACGTCGCCATCGTCGCTCTCTTAGCTTTCGCCATGGTCATCGCCGTCGCTGTGTTCGTAGCCGTCGTCGCCGCAGTCACCGTCATTGCTGCCGTAGGCTTTGGAACTCGCGGGGCTTTGGATGGTTGGAAGGTGCGGGGGAGGAGTGAGAGGTTCGGAGGCGCGGATATCTTACCCAATCGTGTGTCGAGACCCATCCCGAACAAATATCCATCAACCCTGGCGCCCAACCGGGCAGCCAAACTCATTGAGTGAAACATTTTGGCTCGAGCCATTCTGACTCGAGTACATTTGCATCAAGCACACCTTCAGATGCTCATTTGGCTTTGGTACCCTTTCAAAGATGGTCCACAAGGCATTCGCCACCTTGTTCATCCCACTCGGGCAGCTGCGGCGCGTCATCCAGCTACACTCTTGACTGGCAACAGTTGGACCTTGATGGAGGGCTGCTCCAACCTGTGCCCCGCGACGGTATCGGGAAGCGTAGCATGCCCGACGACGAACAGCCCGACTCCCAGCCCGACGCCCTAGCCGACGCCCTACCCGACGCCCAGCCCGACGCCCAGCCCGACGCCCAACCCCACGCCTAGCCCGACGCCCAGCCCGACGCCCAGCCCGACGCCCAACCCGACGCCCAACCCGACGCCCAGCGGGACGCCCAACCCGACTCCCAACCCGACGCCCAGCCCGACGCCCAGCCCGACGCCCAGCCCAACGCCCTACCCGACAGCCTACCCGACGCCCTACCCGACGGCCTTCCCGACGCCCTACCCAACAGCCTTCCCGACGGCCTTCCCCACGCCCAGCCCGACCCCCAGCCCGACGTATCCTCCAGGCTGGCCGACGCCGCACCGGACGTTTACTCCTGGAGGTCCCATGGCGGGCGGAGTTGGCGGTGTGGCTGCCACTGGCGATCCCCACTTGCAAAATGTTCTTGGTCAGCGGTTCGATTTGATGATGCCTGCAAGCATGGAAGGCAGACACGCGCATTGCTTCGCGTTGAGGGCGCCGCGCGCCACTTGGGTGGACAGTGTGCAGATATGTATCTAATGGCCTTCGGCCCATCCGGCCACCGTGCCTGGGGTGTGGCTCAGAGTTAACACGGACGTTCTCAGTGGGCTAACAAGGCGAAGACGATACTCCGAAGTGTATCGGGACATACGTTTTGGGAATCAGGACAGACTGAGGCGATCAATTTCCAGCGTGGGCGGCGGCAACTAAATGCTGTATTGCTAACACGTTCTCCAAACAACGGTTTGATGACATATGGACACGCCAATTGTGGAGCACTGGCGAGCGCCAGCAAATCGATTACGTACTAGCGGACATGTCTCTAAGACCAGAGTTGACCAATCCAGTTATTGTGCCAGATATCGTTTTCCGTTCTGACCACAGAGTTACGTGGGCGAAGTTTGGGGGAGCCACGAAGAGCAGAAACATATGGAGCAAGCCGGAGGCAGGAA